CACTGAAGCAAAGAAGTTACATTGAGGATTTTTTGTAATCAAGTGGTTTGCATTAATCAATAAATACGGAAAATTTTCCTCAAATACTAACATATAAAAAAAATCTGAGCCTGACCTACACAAGAACTGGGAATATAAAATGTCTTGTAGGAGCAGTCGAAAATAAGTGAGCCAAACTCTTCTCAGCTTTGAGGTGATCATCTTAAGCGACTACCAATGTGAGTGAATTATACCACTGATTGATTTATCACTGGGTGGTAAATACATTAGTGGGTTACCTAAGCAACCAGAGTCTGCTATGTCCACCAATGCAACCAACAACCTGGACACAATGAGCAAATATATGTGAACCGGGCTTCATAGCTGCTACTATATAACCGTTTATTATAAAATAAATATCTTCTGACAACTCCTTTCTTTACAGCTTTTGTAGGGTTGGAAATACAGACTCACCTCCTTGTATTAGTCATGTGTAATTTATTTGCCAAAGAGAAATTATAAAATATATTAAATTATATCTTGTTATTCGTCTTTTGCATTTATTGAATTTCTTTCTTTTCTCATCCACTGGGCTTTTTAAGTAGTTAAATATGTTACGTTAGTGGACCAATAGTAGCACTGAGGAGAGAATGATTATGGGGACCTGCATTGACACACCTTACCAAATCTGTCAACATTCCTGCTTTTCCCAGTTTCTCCCATATTTTAGGACCATCCACAATCGTGTTTTCCATGTTTATCTAATATTGCACAAGCTGCCAGACTGTCTATGAAACAGTCTACGCATAGCATAAAAACTGCATGCTATTTCAGCACATCTGTCATTGGTCCAATCTCAGCGCAGAAAAACCAGGTAAGGGTTAAACAAACTAACTGCTACCTTAGCTGTTTGACTATTTTAAGTCTCTTTAGTGCGAAAATTCAGTAAAGAGCGACATAGTTGGCTCTTCAGACGTGCTTAGCAGGGAATTATTAAATTTGGTACAGTTAGAAAGAAATTAAATCAAACTGAGCTTTATAAAACATTAAGTTAGTCGTTAACAACGTATAAATGAAACAGTAAAAACAAAAATGGCGCCCTCTTTCAACCAAAGTAGTGTCACCAAAACTATTTCACACATCACTGGCTTCCTCCTGGTTATGCTAACTTAATAAATCAAAGTTATACCGTGTCATCAAAACAGTTTCTCATATCACAGTCAGGTGAATATGCAAACTGAAAGTCTCCAGATCTCCAGAAAGTCTTATAATTTCCAAATGTTGCAGCATTTCCTTTTGTATGATCTGAGAAGATCTGAGCTCCTGTATCAATTCGACATCACTGAAATAGCGGTACACTCATGTTCAATCCAGCCATGATGCACGCCATACACAAGCCAACAGTTTGTTAACAGCTAAAAGGGACTCCAGCTACATTCAAGAACAGCAAAGAGGGGGAATGAGATGCTCCAAGGGAGTAGCTGTGTTTGCTTCTTTAAAAAAGAGAAAGACTTTCGCTGTGGGGGCGTGAGTTTATTTCTCTGCTGTGAAAACGTTAACGCCAACAAGTAAAAAGTCAACAAACCGGCGCCAAAGTGCCATTACAGCTATCTGACCTTCATAACGGGCAGCCTGTTAATGAGTAACTCCATGTGCAAAGAATTTAAGTTTTGTTAAAGTGTAATAGAGGCTAACAGATGATTATTTATTATTTAGGTTCATTATCAAATCATTTCACACTCTATACACACCTGACAGAAGAATGAACCTATATAAACCTATATAAAGGCTCACTTATAAAATAATAAGAAATAATAATAATACTCTAATATATCATGTAATCTCTAAATCGTATACATTTTTGTTCATAAACTAGCTCTTGGAAGGTCTGACTGTCATTTTGTCGTTTGTAATCTAGATAAATCTAATCCCAGATGAACAGAGTAACAATAACATATATTAAAAACAAAGTGTAACTTTTCTTTTTGTGGGGCTTTTTTTAACGTGTTGATCTCTAACTAACACACAGAATTAATAGTTCGTTGGTCAAAGTGTGTTATTGTTTGCCTTAGGCAGGCATATAAACACAAAGACTTTCAGAGTTTCCTATATTTATTTTTTCTGCATTAAATTAAATTAAAAACAAAACAGCTCTTTCAATGAAATTTAATGAACGCATGTTTATTTTAAAGATAATATCACGGATCTTTGCAAATTTTCCTCAATTATGTATTATCCGCGAAAACCCCCAGATGAACCGCAGCTGCCATGGTGATAAAATAGTAAATATATCTGTCATTATTAGCCGGGTAACAAACCTCCTTTTGACAGCACATCAGTTTACTCACGCCACTGGTTCATTAGCCTGAACGATTAAACTCATTAATACTGAACAATGTGGCTCAACTTTTCCTGCCGCCGACCCCCCCCCCCTCTCACACAGGGTGGGACTGAGGAGCGAGACAAGTGGCTAGCTCGTTAACCGCTGGGAACAATTCAGCCGAGCTAACCGGAGCCTGCAGCTAACATTAGCATGACAAGTTATCATCAGCTGACGGGAGCGGGCGCGACAACGGAGCGGCTTCACGGACGCGCGCCGGTTATGGTTGCTCTAGAGAGGGCGTTAGAAGCTGTCCTCGAAGCTGGAGACGCTTACCTTTAAATTAAACGCAGTAGTGTTTTCAGGAGCCTTTGCAGTAAGTGCGTTCGTTGCTCTCTGGGCTCTCCTGCAAGTATGGCGAACAAGGGGACGGCGCCGCCCCGTGCGCCGCCCGCGCGTCACGTTCCCGGGAGCGGGTCAGCGGCGCGCACGCCCTACGTAGGTGACGCGCTTAACAGCTTGTGTTTAGTTTTGGGTTCAGTGGGATAGTTTCGCTCTGCTGTCACACTTTGTACTGTGATAAAAGGTACAGAGGATACAGAGGATAACGGGACATATTTAAAACTGACTTGTGTATTAAAAAAACACTGATTGCTTCTAATACTTACTTGTAAAACCCCTTGAAGTACATGTTTGTTTGTCTGATTTAAAATCTTTTGTGTGTGCAGAGGCAAATTCTTACAAAACCTACACCTTCTGATAATTTTTCTTTTTTTTTTCTTAAGAAAGTTTTCACTGGACACTACTATGCAGTTCCTGTGAACAACTAAGTACACCCCAATAATCATTTCTGTATGACTTTATCAGTCTCTTGTCATTGTGAAAGAATTTCAGCTCTCTCTTCCTTACAGCGCTGATTCAGTTCATTGAGGTTTGTGGGCATTTGTTTGTGTACAGCGCTCTTAAAGTTCCCACCACAGCATTTAAATCGGGTTGAGGTCTCGTCTCTGCAACACCTTGATTCTTTTCTTTTTCAATCTTTCTGTTCCTGTTTTGCTTGTTGTTCTCCTCTTGCATGGCCCAGCTTTGGGAAGCTTTAGGTGTCAGACAGATGGAGTCGCCTATACAAAAGTTACACATTTACTTATACTGGAATACAGTTGAATGTCATCTGAATGACTGCGTGGCGTCTAGGTGCTGTGGCTACAAAGCAATAATTTTTCTTAATCATATATAATATGTGGTACGGGTGTAATGAGCCATAACTTCAACCTAAATCTTTTTTATTACCAATTTATGTGTTCTTTCCATCTAATTCAATTAGTTGTTTTCTGTTTCTTTGTTTTTTTCTGGCCCTTTCCTGGTCTCTTTGCTAATGGCCAAAAATAAAAGCCATTATTATTTATTAATAACCAAGGACCAGTGCCTCGGGGCACTGACTGCAAACACTGTTGCCTTAAGTCTTCAGTGAGGCAGGGACCGGCATCCCCGTGTGGATCATTATCGCACAACTGCAGTTGAAAGATGTAGAAGTTGTAAAGCCAATGGCCTTAAAACTAGTTATCAGTTACGTCAATTCTATAACATTCTGGAAGCCAGTGTTCAAATGCAAAAATTAGTTCAGGAAGTAAAAAGGCTTTTGCAGTAGTCTAGACATGAAGAAATACAAGTCTTGTCTTGAAATTTGTTTACATTTTTATAAAATTATAAGATAAAACATGACTACATTAGTTTCACTGTGTGATGCTGAAAGTTATCAGTTAGAGCTACGAATTATCGAGTAATTCGAATAACTCTATTATAAAAAATTCTTAATACAAATTCTTTGTTTCGATGCTGTTTAAGGCACGGCTCATACCACTGTAGCTATGGAAATGTGAAACATTTGTGATTTAAAAACAGACCTGAAATGGTACTCAGGAGCAATGTTTAAAGAAAATGTTTGACAATGTTAACCCCACACACACTGATAACACAACAGCAGCAGTGAGGATGACACTGGTGCAGTTTGCACACACGCTGCGAAGAGCAGCTGAGCTCAGGTGGAGCGAGAGAAAACGTGTTTCTAGTGTCCAAAACAGCAGCTCTGTAATCAGCAATAAAAGCTTTACTGGGAAGTAAAGGTAAACTTCGTATACATCATATTTTATTGACTTTGACCTTCTGAATGTACCTTAAGTTATTTATGCATTTTTTACTTGTGTTTTTTTTAAATTTCATTTATTTGCACATTAATACAAAGGGTTTTGTTGTCCTTCTTGACAAACGTTTTCATTAAAACATTGCAAGGAGTTCATTTTGAAAAACCTGCACCGCCCTCCTTTGTATATTTAGTATTGCTCATTAGAGAAAAGTATTTCCTATCCAATTACTTGATTAAATAACCGAGATTACTCAATTTCTAAGATAATCGGTTGCTGCAGCCCTAATGTCAATTCAGATACTGAAGATATGAGAGACACCACCAAGAAGACGGAGCAAAGACAATATGAAGAGGTACAAGCAGCAAGATTAAGATGTTGATCTTGTATGAGGAAGAGTACCAGTGGTAGAGACTTCTCAGGTAATTCATTGTGTGGTGCTTTGAGAATGCACCATTACAAAGACAAAGGCTTTAGTTTAGCATGGTTTCAGTAGTTGGCCTGAACATGGCCAGTCAACATTTGGCACCACTGTGAGGAGTCCAAGAAGACGAGAGACGTTTTTCTAAAGATGACTCAATATCATGAATTTATGTACAAAATCCTTTGAACGTGTCCATGTGTCAAATATACAGTACTGAGTGACAGAACCAGTGTACATTAAAATGCAACTTTTTTTGTTTTTAAATTTACATTCAGAAGTCTGTCATTCAACCATGTTTATACAAAAAAAAAAAAAAGAGAACAAAGATTCTCATTACAGGTTTAAGGCAACAACAGTTCCTGAATCCTGATAACATGGTTTTATGGTTATAAAAAGAGAAAATTTGAAAATAACACCCAAAACAAAAAAATGGTCCATACAAAATGTCTTTAAAACACAAGGGTCTGATCCATCACATCTGATTAGCCAAAATAAAAAAAATGATAAAAGAAACGGGAGCATCATCCCATCAGAGTCCTTTTAACTGGTGTCCATCTTACACTAAGAAAGATGAAGAAAAAAAGAAGAAGAAGAAACAGATTAGAAAATTGTGTTCACAGTATTATCCAAATAATTAATGAAACTGATTTTATGCAGCCTGATTACATACCTCAGCATTATAGGCATCCAACTGGGCATCAAGTTCCTCTGCAGAAAGCTGGGGTCTGTTTCCTCCTCCCCTCCCACGGCCTCTAAAACCTCCACCTCCACCACCACCGCCGCCTCCACCACCACCTCCTCCTCGCCGCCTTTCAACCCTGGGCTGACCGAGCCTAGTCCGATCAAAACCTTTGTTTGAGCTGCAAACAATAAAAAGAAAGAGGGTTACTCCAGAGAACCTGTAAAATCCGTGTAATACATAAATTGATTTTTTTTTTTTTTTAACTGCGTAACATTGTAACCCATTTTCAATGCCTGTGTCATCACATTAACCCATCAACCTTGATTTACAACCCCGGATCCTTTTTTTAAAAACAAAAAAACATACCCTTGTGTATTCTGTGTGTTCTGTGTGTCGAATTCTGAAGTGGCTTGTTGGATTTTCATAGGGCGGCCTGGCGGGGAAAAAAATAAATAAAAATAACAGAAGTATAAATTTAGTTAGTTACCATTAACAACACCCATGTGCACACGCCTAAACAAGAGAACAAGCATGGGAACAAATCCTCACCATCAAGCGGTACGCCGTTATAGTGCTTCATGGCTTTCAGTGCATCTGCCTTATTTACAAAGTGGACGTCTGCAGTTCCTTTACTGCGACCAGACCGATCATAGTGTATAGATGCCTTCTTCAACGCTCCGAACTCAGCAAACAGCTCCTAAAAAGTAAAATCTGGAAAATCAGTGCCATTCCTCAGCATCTGAGGTGAGCAAAATAGATCTGAGCTTAGATAATTACCCTGATATCAGAATCAGAGACACCAAAGTCCAGATTGGAAATCAGCAGCTTGCTGCCGTTTCCTCCGCCATTTCCACCACTGTTTCCTCCGCCGTTTCCACCACTGTTTCCAGCACGTCCACCAACATGCTCCTCAAACATATCGTGCTGCCATTTATCAGGCAACTCTCTGGGCTGTGGAGACAAAAAAATTAAATATAGGCTTAGTTTGTGTTTTGTTCTAGGAAACTCAGAGTGCTACTATGATGGCTTAAAGCACTTGAATATTGAATGTCTGAAGGCTATTGAAAAATGTAATCTAATAACCAGTTTATGGTCATTACTCCCTATAAACATCACGGGAATCAGGCTAGAGGCATCATCCAGGTCTTCACAGGAGGAGTCCATTCAAAAGGGATGAGAGTCTTTCTTCAGTGCCTGAAAACACTCTTCTTTCCACAGAGGTGGTGACAGTAAGGCAGCGAGTTTCCACAGGTTGGAAAAAGCCCCATGTTAAGTATGCGGCCAAAAAAATGAAGCAAAGGCCCCACTTTGAAGCAGTTTTGTCAGGAGGCAAAAAAAAAAATAGTTTGGTAGACAGGATTTCGGCTCTTTTTGCTCGAGCAGGCTATAAAATGCTGACAAAGCCAAAAACAAAAAACAACAACAGCAAAAAAAACCACAAAAAAAAACTGCAGCGAGGGTAAAACATCCATATCAATCACAGCAGCCGAAGAAATACAAGAAAACAGGCACAGAAAAGTCCCTCAGAGTCCATGCTGGTTCAGCTCCTAGCTTCTCCTGTTACTGTTAACTGAACCATGCTAGTTTCCGGAAGTCCGTAATCACGTAATTACACCTTTAATGACGCATTTTAAAATACATTTCCAATATTTTAACTATTTTCACAATTTCAACCGCTTTTCTTCCATACCCTCGTGTACGGCGTGGATCTGTTGTTTCGGTTGAAGTTGCTCTGTCGGCCCCGCGCCGGCCTCGACGGCCCGCCGCCTCGACCTGAGCCTCCAGCCCGGGCGAACGTTCCTCTCCCGCGGCCTCCACCTCCACCTCCGCCTCCTTTCTTGCTCATCTTGATAATGTCGTCCAGAGACATGTCCATCTTATCACCCATGGCGCTGTTCAACCTTCACCAACAAAGAAGACGGACAAAGACTACCGACAAAGCGTGCAGAGGAGGCTGTTTATAAGCTACCGGCGGCGCGATGTTGAAATTGACGGAAATGACGTCAGAGGGAAGCTTCGCTGACGCAGAAGCTCCGCCTTTTGAAAAAAAAGACACTTTAATAGTAAACGATTAATATGTAAATGAATATGTAGCATTTTCTATATTTAAAGGATAAGTGTGATATATAATATTTTTACATTTCCAAAACACAATGAAGTATCAAAAACCGTTTTGCTTGATATAAGCAGGACAGATTTAAACAGAGAATTCGGTTCAGTTTTATTTACTTTTTTTTTTACATAGCACCAAATCGTACCAACAGTTGCCTCAAGCACTGAGAATAAAACCTACAAAAGACAAACGTTCAATTTCTGACCATGAAAACTACAAATAATTAAAAAGTAATATTTGGCAGGGAATATCGTAAATAAAGCAGCTCAAAGCTTGTGGCCATCAAAAGATTTTAAAAAAAAAAGTGATTTAGGAGAAGATTTCAAGGAGGTCCCTGACTCCACAAGCCCTAAATTTTTATGGTTTGGTTGATGGCAAAAGTTTTTATTACCATGATGATGGACTTCAAAGGCCTTGTGTTGGCATCTGAGACATATTGGGTCAACATTTCTGCTTTCTAGCTCCAGACACAAAAGTTCTTTAAAAGCAATCAGTAAAATGTTTAAAGTGATTCTAAAAAATATAGGGAGCCAGTGTAGAGAAGCCAGAATCAGAAATATTTAGACAAACTGTTTTGACTCATTCTTATACAGTATTCTTCATTAAACTGTTATATGTAAGTGATAAATTTGTTTTAACTGAAATATCGCTTTGTGAATGTTTATGAAAAGTTAAATTCAAGTCAACATTTTAAAAGAAACAACAATAGTAATAAAAAGAGGTAGCGTTAATATGACAGAAGAACACAAATGAATAAGAAGTTCTTCTTCTCACCGGGATTAAACACAGCAGAAAAAAAAGGAATCAAACTTTTGAAAATTAGAAATATGTTATATTAGAAGATCCGCTCTGATGTAAATTATGATTTTTTTCTCATGCAATTTAATAGTTTGACATTTTCCAAACACAAAAAGCACCAATTTTATACATGCAAATAAAATCTGAGATTGTGTACTAGCTGCATTTTCACTGTTACTGCTGAAGTAGTTTAGTAGTACTTTGATACCACAGATAAGGAACAAAGTTTAGCAACATAGTTTCGGTAAGCTGTAACCTGTAAGCAGCACTGTCAACGGTCATAGAAAAAACAACAATGACCACCCAGAGCTGTTACTGAACTGCTTTCAAACATTGCCTGAGGATTTCAGTTGGTGGCTTTAATTTGCAGAATAATTCGCATTACACTGAGAGCCTAACCGTTTATGTGTCTGAAACCCACCTACAGGCCCACACCTTTTCCTGCATCCTCCTGACTGTTTACATGTTTCACACCACTGGTGCTTCTACAAAAACTAATATTCAGCAACAAGTGTATTTAAAAATGATGAATTTAATCAATCCAACAAACCAATAAGTGAATTAGTTTGTTGGATTAGATGTGATATTCCAGTGATTTATTAATTTAATGAAAAGTTTGTTATATTTTCTGACACTGATGTAGAAAACATGTTTGATTTACTGTAAGTTTTAAAATGATGAAATGATATTGATTGTGGACCTACGTAGAGTGATCAGGTGATCCTTCTTTTTGTGGGACTGTACAGCCTTTTTATCCCGCAGGCAGAAACCTTTCTAAAGTGTTTTTATTTCATGACTGAAGAAAACAGCAAAGATTCCTGCAGGTCAACATGTCAGTACAAAGGTCACTACAAACACACTCAGACATTGGTGGGACATGACAAAAACTATTACAAAGAAAAGCAAATGCAGCTACAATAAACCCCTAATAATTCATTCAAACTGGTAGAAGGTTATTGATTCCTTTGAGGATTTTAATGTTTGGAGTTCTGGAGAAAGCCTGGAGCTCAAAAAGATACGTGTTGTTCATTAAAATTGAAATGATTACTACACATTAGGGCTGGGCCATATTATACCGTTCACGGTAATACTGGTATAATGTTAGGCAACGATAGGAAAATGAAATATCGCGATAGAATGGGAGTAAAACGCGCATGCGCAGTGCCTT